CTTTGACTTCTCCTCCCTTTTCCTTTTCCTCTTCTTCTCCTCATTTCATTTTATACTAATATTTATTAGTTTCTATCTTCTTTAATTCAATTATACAAGCAACTCCTGTTTTCTATCATGAAATATAACTACAGGATTATAAATGCAAATATAATTGAGTTAAAATTAAATCATTATTAAAATATATGCCAAATAAGTAGTAAATATGATAAGCAACTGGATTTTTGCCATTAATTTCAGTAGAAAAGTGCATTTACTAATGATAATTATAGACTAATTAGTAGTTATAATTGCTCCAGTCTAATAATTATATGTTTTCTTTTTCCACTTCAAATGTGCTTTTGAGAATGAGAGAAACCATTATTCCTATATGTAAGATAAGCCTTATGTTTTATTAGGTTCTTATTCAGGGTGGCTATCCCTTTTCATTCTAAATTATATTCTAATTTATGTGACCAGCATAGTCCAAATATATTAAGGTAATCCTTTGTGGGTTCTTATAAGCAGGTAGTTTTAAAATGTAGCCAATTTTCTACTTAGCATTGGGTACAGCCTTAAATATATTTTTCAGCCTTGAAAAGGTTTAGCAAAAGGGTAATAATTATCCTTCAGGAGATTCAAGTTGTCAATTAAAATTAATGAGCACTTACTTGGTGACTCACCCAGACAAAAAAAATAGCAATTTTGATAGGTTTTTCATACTCTATTTTAAGCAAATAAGACTGAAGTCAAATACAAGTGTTAATCGCTACATGGATGCCACTAGGCAGCTTTCTTGAAAATAGTATAGAAATAATTTGTCACTGCCTTCCATGATAGTTTTTCAACTTCCCAATTTGGAAGTTTTGCATCCAAATACAATGTCTGATCCTTTACTTTTTTCAGAGTCAGCCAAGATTAGTTAGATACTTCAACTAAGTGATATTAAAACAAGCTTCTTTCTACAGAAGAAAAGTCAGTGAAGGTTTGTCAGAACAGTTAGCAGATAAGAGAGATTGTAAATTACATTAAAGCCCTGAGAAAGGTGGAAGCTCTGTATGGTACAATTCTGTATGGCTCAAATTCCAACAAACTTTTAAGGTTGTGTTGTTATATTCCCAAAAATAGAGTTTCAAACACCTGTTCCTTAGTCTGAAGGGCTGACATCCTTTTACCATATGTCTATAATAAAATTATATTTGAGAGCTGGAAATAGTGATGTTACATATGTTACAAGAATAATATTAATGTTATATACCTCTTTTGTGACAAACTTGAAGGGTAAAATTATGAAACTAATTCACCAAAATATGTTATTATGAGTTTATTGGATACGCCAAAGAATGCATTAGAAAGAATGAATATAATTTCTCTTTGTTGGTGATATGAGAAATTTGAAGTACATTATTCCATATTTATTTTATTTATTTATCTATCAGATTTCTGTATTTCTCATCACACTTGTATATCTCTGGGCATTTTATAGATAAAACATGGGTTAGCATTATAGGTTTTTTTTCAAATAGTATTGTAATGCATATGCGTAGATTTATGGGTAATTTTTTATGTGAAATAAATGAATGTTATTTTGCGTTCTATACCAAATTTTCATAATTTGGTTATATTTGGGGTGGGCAATATTTAGAGAATTATATTGAAAGACTGATAAGGTGCTGCTCTTCTAGACATTAGGGGCTAGATTCAAGAAACCTGTAACTGATCAATGTATGAAAATACTCTTTTGATATTAGTAAAAAAAATGTCACCCAGTAGGCTCTCATGTTAATTTAATATATTAATTCACTGGTTGGTTTGCTTTGTTCTTTTTTTAATTAACTGCTCCCATCAGACAAAGCTTCTGATATATGCTAGTTTTGACATTCTGTCACTCCTGATTGATCTACTTGCAAATAATGGGTATTGCTTGCAAATGATGGCATGTATGACATTAAAAGGAAGAACAAGTGAAGACTTCTTGGGACCTATGATTGCACTGTTGTAATATATGTTTGGCCAGAGTAGACATCTTGGTTTATTGCAGGGTCTGGTTTCCATGTTAGCGTCATCATCTGTTGCTGTTTCTTGTTGTGACAATCTGGTTCTGGCTGGGCAGTTGTCAATATTGAGCTGTCCATTGTAGGTTGCAAGCATGATGTTTTGTTTACAGTATCTGCTTCTGTGATCTGTCTTTTAATAAATCCTTCCTGGGAATTGATCTAGTTCTACCGAATTATTTATTAATCTAACTGGGTGGGTGGTTAAATTCCATCAGTCCAACATCTCTGTCAAGTAGATCAGAACAACTATAATTGTACCATGGGGCCAGGCTATAAATGATAGATTTGGTTTCGTGTTCTGAGTAGAAAGTGTAGCAATGATAAATTCCTATATAAAGTATATGTCCATTGTATACTTTTTACATCAAAGAAGTAGGCTTGTTCTATAGCAGTAGTGGGATTCAAATTTTTTTACTATCAGTTCTATGGTTGTGGCTTGGTGGGCGTGGCATGGTTTGNAGTGTATAAGATACAGCCAGATTTTCAGCCTCTTTTTTGAGAGAAAAGGTGCGTCTTATACTCCGAAAAATACGGTATGTGCCAGTTGCCAAATTTTGATCATGTGACCATGCTGCAACAGTTGTAAACATGAAAACTGGTCATGAGTCACTTTTTTCAATGCCGAGGTAATTTCAAACAGTCACTAAATGAACTGTTTTAGGTTGAGGACTAGCTGTATTTCAGAGATGTTTTAGATATGATAAATTTATCATATACCTTGGATATTTAATTTGGCGTGTATTTTTCAAACAGAACAATACGACCAGATAATATTCGTAATGGACCAGATAATGGAGTTCGTTCAATATACAAAGCCACAGGATGTGCAGATAATACCAATCACCATGTAATATATCTAGAACATGTGGTGGTACGAATCACTATTACACACCCTCGAAGAGGTGATCTGGCAATTTATTTAACTTCTCCTTCTGGAACAAGATCTCAGCTATTGGCTAACAGGTATTTAACTTTCAGTTTTATGGAAACTCACTTTCCAAATTGGGTGCACTTAAAAATGTATGAATGTTTAGAAAAGATAAATTGAGGAACCACTCTGAGATAATGAACACATCAAGTGGAAATCTCAAATTTTGTCATGAGCATTAGCTCATTAGCTCATTAGGGCAAGAATAACTAAAATCTTCTGCAATTTTTTTTTGTCTGATACTGTGAATGATAATTGCAAATTACAAAAGAGTAGAGTAAGAAAAGTACTTCAAGAAAACAGTTGAAGGAAGAAATAAATCTTAATGAATCTCCTCACTGTTCTGAAAAAAGAATGGTGCCAAACCAAAATATAGTCTGGCCTGTCTGATATGTGATCCTAACATGACTCTGAATTGCATTTGTGATTTTTTGTCTTGAATTTTTTCCTGATGCTCACAAAAGGATATTTCATTCTGGAGTATATTCTGGCCATAACAGGACTCAGGGGTTGGGGGAAGCATTCTTAAAAAAAAGATAATAATACTAGTTGATCCCTAAAAATGTTATCTGTTGAAAGTGTGCCTGGAATGTAGTATATAATCTAATTACTTAGATTATCTAAGATTATCTGAATCTAAGTCAGATTCAAGAATTATGATAAACAATTTTGGTTGTTATTAGAAAGATAAGGAAGTCTTTCTCTTATCTATTCCTTTATTTAAATGCACTTTAGATTAAAACTGGCTATTCTGTAAATAGAAGATACTTCCAATTGAGTAAAATGACTCTCCCCTCTCCCCTTATTGGTTCTTTCTTCCTCCTGAATCCCTCTATAGAATATGCTATTCTAGAGAGCCTGCAAACAGATACAAGGGTACTTTGGACTATCCTAAGTTTAGAGCTGATTGCTTTGCCAATATAGATTTTTAAATCAAGCAGATTGACATTTCATTATCAGCAGAATATCAGATGTTGGGTTTTTGAAAATGTAATTCTGGTTTGAATTAACCTTTACCTGTAGCATTTGCAAGCAACAATTGACTAGAGGTAAATTGTTAATTCAATGGATAATGTTGATTTCATGTTTTATAAAAAAAAATAAGTATAAAAAATAGTGTTCGTTGTAGCTGTTTGCTTAATTGCTGTGACTTGCAGGCCCTTTCATGTTATTTGTTATGATAAAAGTTATGATTGCAGTAAATGTTGTGCAACATTGTGATGCCCATTATAAACGAGTGGAGGTTCTGCCAAAATGACACTAGTCAACTCCTAGTGACTGCATCCATGCACTTTTCTTGACAGTCCTATGGAACTGAATTAACATTACCTTTTTCCATTTCCCAATCTCACCAGTAAGCCTGCAATTCCCAAGAGTTCATTTCTCTAAATACTACTAAGGCTTGACCTCTCTTAAGCTTGACATAAACTGTATGCTCCTATCTGTTCAGTTTAGTATTCTAGTCGTGGGGTCCAGAACTTTGAACCAAGCATGGTCCAAATCTTCAATAAGATTTCTTATGGAATATCCCTTTAATGTGAGAATTATAGAAAGATTCCTCATGTTTTGTATCTTTTCTAAAAGCTTACTATGACTATTTGACTTGTATTTTCATGGACTCATATGAAGAGTGGCTGTACAAAAAATATTTAACTCAAAGCTCTGAAAACCTGTCTTCACAATCAATTGTAATTCAGTGATTTATTAATTCAGAAGAAACTAAAACATATAAATAGTGTTACACTTGGCCCATATTTACTGCACTTATTAGACATAGTAAGAAGTATATGATTAATAATTTGGCAATGATAGCTAAGAGTTAATGTTCACTTTATTTCACAATTATGACACACGTAGGTTAGATATATTAAAAAATGTCAGACCATATGAATAATGTCACTTATAGTTCACAAACTTCTAAACTTTTTAAATGTTTGTACTTTATTATTGTTAAATTTAATGACAGCATATTTGTGCAATTTGACCATTTATATCAGCATATATACTCATAAAAGTAGGGTCATACTAGTGGTTCCAAAATGCAGCATTACTTCCAGAATCCTTATGAAGCATCCCTATATTCTTCCCTTGAAGATATTGGAGCCTGACACAAATCCCTATAGATTATATCCAATTGCATTAAATGAAATTTTTATTAAATATATTTTCTTTCTGTGTTTATACATACATTGTTGTGCTTTTCTTTAAAAGGTTATTTGACCATTCTATGGAAGGTTTTAAAAACTGGGAGTTCATGACAACTCACTGCTGGGGTGAAAAAGCAGCTGGTGACTGGATTTTAGAAATCTATGATACTCCATCTCAACTAAGAAATGTAAAGACTCCAGGTATGAACACATTAGTCTGCTGGTTATTCACTTTACCTTTTGTATATTTAACGTAATATAGCATAGTGTAGTTGCTGAGTTGATTTATAAAGATAAAATATTGTTTAGAATCAAAAAGTGAAAAGTATTTTGCTATTTATCAAAGCTAGAGAACCCTGGTAGTAATCATCAAATGACTTTTACACACTTAGCCACGACATCTGCTGGGAAGATTGGGTGATAACTCCAGCTATGGAGATGACAGAGGAAGTATTAACCTCCAATTTTGACGCCATAAAATGCTTTTTCACAGAGATTTAACAACAGCACTTCAACTAGAGGATTCTGAGTCACTTATAGAGCAGTTTTAGATCTCTGTGTTTCTATGATGTAATAACATTAGATAACTCAGCTGTTTAGTTCAGCTGTAGTATAATTGAGATTGCTGTGAAGTTAAGAGACTCACTTCTAGAACCTGAGGTTCAGGTTACAGTAAATGCAAGCTGTAAGATTTTGAAACCCTTTCTGTTCTGCTCAGAGAAAATGAGCAGAAGAATGATTTTTTTGTCAGCCTCTTCAGCATCAGAAGAGAATAATAAGAAAAGCATGGAGAAGTTTTGATTTTCCGCCTCTTCCTTTAGAGAATAAGATTTTCGATTGCTATGGGACTTAAATGTTCGGGGCAACATGCTGACTCTGCAAATTTCTTAGAGAGGGTTGTAAAGCACCATGAAGTGGTATATANTTGAAGAATTGTAACTATAAACATATAGCTTTAAAATAAAAACAAACTGCAAACCTGAAGAATTTTTGGCAAATAAAAATTTCTCTACTATATTCCCCATACATTCTCAGTGATTATATGGCTGGTTTGTTCCTAAATATAATCCAGTTTAACCCTATAAAATGCATCAGAGAAAAAGTTTGAGAGCTGTCCTTATTAATGCAGTTCAGGGCAACCTTGTGGTAGACCCCAAAGGCCATTCTGTGTATCAATGATATACTTCCAGAAGATATCATTCCCAAATTTTTATAGCCAAGATTTTCTTTCTTTCTTTTCTAAAGGTACAGAGTCTGCATAAGGCTGAACACATATGTTTTGCATCATTAAACTGGATTTTTTACTTTTAATCTCCTGGCTGTATCACTGGTTTAGCAAACAATCTCTGCTAGAAAAGTATTTTCCTCCATTAAGCAGGTGGCTGTGCAAACTGAATATATACAGTAGTTGAATTAAAGGAAAAACGATTGGGAAACATGCAGTATATCAAAGGAATTGTGCAGTAGGGCAGACATAAATTTGATATACTATAGTTCTTTGCTGATTAAGTCTTAAGACCAAATTGAAGGCTTTTGGTATTCATGCTGCTTGTTTACTGCAAGGATATATAAATTGACATTGCACAGATATACGTGGTCGGACTCACTTTTTCTTGTTTTTATTTCTCTGTATGGTTTTATAGAGAAGAAAACTTCCTTATTATTTGATTTCAAACTGTTACAAATATTACACCATTATTTCTATAACTGGGACTTTGAAAGCATTTGTACATGATTAGGTACACAACAGAATCAACAGATTACAGTAGCAAGTATGTAGGTGATGCTATGTAATTAAGTGGGGTTTAATTCCATCTTTATGAATTTTAATATAAATTGGATTTTTTCCATTCATTCTTTTTTTTCTTTGCTTAATTTTAGTGCTAGAACACAAATGCTCATGGCAAGCAGCAAAAATATGTCTTTTATCTTCAGAAGAAGGATATTCTTAGAACATATTCACACAATTTTATTAGAACAAATAGAACATAACATGCTTAGAACAATAAGAACAGCATAAGTATCTGATTTTAAACCTGCTTGAGATAAACATGTCCCTCAGCCAACAAAAATTAAAAATTAAATAAAAATGACTAAAATACAAAAAATGATTAAAAACAAATAGATAAATAAATTGAAAGAAAATTTTAAAAACTAACTAAACTTGAAGGGTAGATTCAATGTCCTTGTTATACAAAATCTATCCTGATATCTAACACTATGAGTCATAACTTGTTTGGGGTGATCTTGTTTGCTACTGGTTGCTAGGAGGGTGCTTCTTTACAAGCACCCTCGTACAAGCACAGGCATATGTGCATACATAGGCCACAAAAGCTTACATCTTTGATCTGTGGTTGGTGTGATTTTATAATTGTGTGGTATCATTGTGTTTGTTTTTAATTGTTGGGTTTTTAATCTTTGTATACTACCCATAGTCACTGAGATAGGCAGGCATATAAATTTAAATAAATAAAATGTGGGGACATCTAGCAAATTTTGGAATCTCTACCAGCACAAAGATCAGAATCAGAATTGGAAATGTTCCCAATGCTTTCCTTTCTCCAACAAGATCTCTTGATCTTAAGCCACGGTGTAGCATCTGGTCCTTGCAAGCCAAGCATGAAATAATCATTATAAGCACAACCTACAAGGATATTTTATTTTAATGTTTTTCTCATTGTAGCCAAAGTTGCTAGAGCATGGATTGATTATGAACCAGAGGTGGGTTGCTACCGGTTCGCACTGGTTTGGGCAAACCAATAGTGGAAATTGCGACCCGTTTGCCAAGCCGGTAGGGCGGCAGGCTCGCCACGCCCCCGAACCATTTCCCCTTTTTGCTACGGCATGATTTTGTTTTACATTTTTAATGTTCTGCGCATGCACAGACCTATTTACAGGCAACTGTGCACACGCACAGAGTATGTGTCAGGCACATGAGTGAAGGGTGCGGGCGCAAATCGTGCATGCAATGAACCAGCAGTAACGCTGACAGAAACCCACCCCTGGTATGAACATAACCAGCACACACTATTTGTAGCTTAGCATAGAAGTGACACAGTCTCTAATAAAGGAGAATATTTGTAGCTCAGGGTTGAAATGAGGAGTCTTTGGTGTTCTCTGAGCTTGCTTATTTTCTTCCAGCCATTTCATTGCCCAAACTAGGTAATATTATCAGGGCACTGATTATGTTACCTAGTTTGGGCAATGAAACGTCTGCAATAAAACAAGCACGCTCAGGGAACACCAAGGACTCCTGGTGCAGTCTCTCTTTCCAAGTGTCAAGGCAAGGCCTAGCCACTCTGACAAGCGGCCTCACTTCACAATGAGGCTATACATGTGCAAAAACTGTTGTTTAAATATCACATAACAATTAACTGTTTTTTCATGCAAATGAAATAGTTTTCTGTATGCTAAAATATTGCCTCAAAATATTAATTATGAAAAAGGACTAATTTAGCCCTTAATTTATTCTTGCTCTGAACATTTTTGACATTTTTCTTTCTTTTAGATAACCACCTCTGCATCTATACTTCTTTCCTTTTAGAAAATCACATTTGTATTGTCTTTTTTTAGTCGTTTACTAACATGGAGGGATATTCAACATATTATTGTAAGGACTTCAGGAGCTGGACATCTAATTGCCAATGACTGGAAAACCAATGCAGCTGGTTACAAGGGTAAGTTGTCATTTCATAGTCAACATTTCAGGCCTTATTCAATAAAGTCCCTAATATTCCTTTATTTCTAAATTTCCCTTTATAATTATCTCTTTTTTCTTAGTCCCAAGTGTTTTTCTACCAGGTATAGTTCATGCAGCTTCTTTTGTTTACACTAATAAAGTAAATGAGGTCACAAGATCAAGAATTATGCCTCTTACATATAACTGTGTTTTAGATAAAATAAGGAATCCTCATTACAAAGAAAATATTATTCTTGAAAGTAAAAATGATTCACAGCTACCTCTTATATGGGTTGATTGGAGAAATCTGTTAGTTATATATTATTCATAGCTAAATAATATAAATGTAAACCATATGTATTTCTGAATATTATTGAAAATAGTAAACAAAAATATGCATATTAAGGAATAGATAAAAATATGCATTTGGAGAAACATCTTGCAAAAATAATTGTATTATAAAATACAATGAATATGAATATATTATGGAAAATGGAATATATAAATGATAACATTGAATAAATATGCATGTAAACTGACATAAAGATGAAGGAACATGTCATCTAAAAAAGTGGGATATTAAGCAAAATTAATACTGAGTATTTCTTGCGTATGTACTGACAAAATTATTTCTGAATTTAAACTTTAGATTTTCAAATAGTACCTGCAATATTATAATTTCTTTTTTCTTTTAGAAAAGATGTTTCTAACAACTCCTTCATATAAATAAGTAGTTTAAAATAACGAGATATTTGAACCTTATACATATGCATCAAATAAATGATATTGATTTCAATTTAATGTGTATAAGAAAAAGATTCATGACATACAGAATATAAATGCAGGTGCCCATGTAGGACATAACAAATTCTAAGCCATAAATTTCAGTTGGAAGTTTAATGTTTTTTTTATCTTTTATGTTGTTCTTATGTATTTAAAAATTATTATATTTTGTGTGATAGCATAAACTGAAAAATTATTCATATTGTATGTTAATCATTGTTTTATTATTTAATTATTTCATATTCCTGAAGGAGCGTATTAGCTATAAAATATTTCTAACCACAGTGTCAAAATAACAACAGAATATCTGGGCATGATTCCAAATGCTACAATAATTGCAGAAATATTGTTAAAATAATTGAATGCTGGTTTATTTTTATGCAGCTTAATTTATTTGCTACTTTTCTCTGGGAACATTTTATATTTCTGTTTTATGTATTCAACTTATGAAAACCAATTAGTGCATAAGATAGCAGGAAAAATTGATAAATATCACTGGGATACAATTAATAAATATTATTGTGCCATGTTGCTTGAAATGTTATCCATTGCATGAACAATATAACAAAACATCTAGGAAGTGAGTGCATTAAACCAATATTTAGAAACATTATTTACCTTATTTTCTGTCATGAAATCTATTTTCTGTCATGAAAGCTATTCATGAAATCTATCCCGCTGCATTTTGTAACAGTTGCAAATTAATATCCCATATAGTGCAATATAGGTATACACTACCTCATACTAAATTATAAAAATAGGAAGAAAAGAACAAAATAATCCCTATTCACTATGGAACTGAAGAATCAACTTTAACCTAATTAAGGTGAATAGTTTTAAGTTAATTATCTTGGCAATGTAAGCTGAGCAAATGGTTTCAATAAAACTATAACTCCCTTTCAACCTCTTGTTAGTTTTGGATGAAGCAAAAGCAAATGATTTAGATTAAATAGCAACCTCCATTGTTTAATTTGATGCGGGGAGTATATATGTGCGCACAGTATACTGCTTCTGGCAAAAATGGAACTCTATTTTACTATTGCACGTGGCATTATTTAGTGTAATATTTCACTATTGTCCCCAGCTGCAGCCAAAAATAATAATTAAAAACCTGTTTTTCATAGAATGAATTACACCGATCCGACTGAATCCCTTTGGAAATGTACTATAATTCTCTTTATGGCTGGAACATATTTCTTCAATGACAGTATCATAATAAGGTGTATGAGAAAAACGAACCAAGCAGTGTTCTAAAACTAGCCTTGGCTGCAATCTTATCCTACTTTAGCTTTAACTTTAGCTTTACTGGCTAAAATTATAATGCTAGCCTACACACTTTTATCAAATAAACTACACTATTTGAAAACAGCATGGAGAACAATGAGATTTTTTTAATTTTTTCCTCCACAAGATTGTATAAACAAATAGCCGAATGGCACATTTGTGAGGATATTACTTTAGAAATAAAAGAAAACACAAAGGAGAAAATAGATAAAACGCTTATGAATTTCTAAATGTTTTATAAATGTTTTATAAAACGTTTATAAATTTCTTGCTCAAAAATCACTGAAAACGTGTATTCGGAGGTGGGTTAGCATATTGTTTCCTTGAACTGCTTGACTTGATTGGCGATCTCAGGTTTAAGCACTTTTATTACTATGGAGTTTTAAATCATCAGTTGTTGTTTTTTTAAAGTAAAAATGTAGCCATTGATCCCCAGAGGGATAAGTTAAAATAAATTGGTTAAACTAGCGATGTTTTTTGGCCTTTTCTTACCCATGGATTTGAGGAATAGACATTAAATACCTGGTTTTGCTTAAATTGCTTTTAAATAAATGAATTCCAGGTATCAATAATTCACTTCTGAAAGTTGCTCAAAGTCAAGGTGATTTGAAAAATCTTTGTTTCTGCTATCTACTGTTGGCTATCCAAAATGGTAAAAGATAATTTCAGAAATTTTCATACGGTAGGTAAATGAAACTATTTAAGGGGAATGAATGAATGAATAAAAACTCCCAGCCTTTAAGTTCCATATCTGCATTAGAACCAATTATTCTTATTCTCATTGAGTATGCCTATATACCTGTAACATATACTGTAGTTTTTAATATTTAATATAAAATATAGAAATTTGTATCCATATAGCAACTCCAATAATACATTGTTTTTGAGGAACTATTCTTCTAGAATATTCTTTNGACCTGTCCAGAAACTAACGCCTTGCCACATTTTCTGCATGGGCAAAAATATAAGCCCACCCCCCAAAAATAAACCCCCTGGGTTTATTTAAACTCCCGAAGAGCTGGGCACAGCCTCAGGGGTGAAGCAGCCATGAGGTGACCATGCAACCACCCGGCAAATCCCCTCTCCAGCTGGGTAGAGTGCATTCACTGACCTAGGGGGTATCACTAAGGCACCAAGACATGTGGCGCTCTGCCCACCCCCCCAGCTCCTGCGGCTTGGCACATTCGGGATACCCCTCTAGGTCAGTGCAGGGAGCTCTGCCCAGCTGGAGAGGAGGGTTGCACAAGCACCTGTTCCACCCCCAGCCTCACCAAGCCCTTGCGCAGCTGTCCCAGAGCACTGCCGCCCCTGCCACCGCCCACCGCTGTCACCACGCTCCGAGCATAACTTCCAAACTCCAAAACTCCACTGCCAAGTCTTCCAGCATCGTCCGTTCTAGGAATGCTCTCTATGGTGGGCCAGCTGCTGGAAGACTCTCTGTCCGGAAGACTCTCTGTCCAGGAGACTCTCTGTCCGGCAACCGGCCCACCATGGAGAGCACTCCTAGAGCAGCCGATGCTGGAAGACTTGGCAGCCGAGTTTTGGAGTTTGGAAGTTATGCTCGGAGCGTGGTGGCGGCGGGCAGCAGCGGCGGTGCCCTGGGAGAGCTGTTCAAGGGCTTGGTGAGGCTGGGGGCAGAACAGGCACTCACGCAACCCCCCCCCCTCTCCAGCCTGGCAGAGCTCCATGCAATGACCTAGGGGGTATCCTGAATGTGCCAAGCCATGGGAACTGTGGGGGGGACAGAGTACCATGTGGCTTGATGCCTTAGTGATACCCCCTAGTTCAGTGAATGGCGCTCTGCCCGGCTGGAGAGGGGATTTGCCAGACAGCTGCTCATGAGCGTGGTTACCTCATGGCTGCTTCATCCCTGAGGCTGTGCCCGGCTCTTCGGGAGTCTGCTTGCAAGGGAGCAGCCGCCCAGCAACTCCAAAGCAATAAGCCCTCCCTGATAATAAGCCCAAGGCCCTATTTCGTGGAGCAAAAGAAAATAAGACCCTGTCGTATTTTCGGGAAAACATGGTAAGTCTAAGTGCTATTGCTATTGCTTCCTTATTATAATGAAAATGCCAGTACTCATGGTTTATTCTTCTTGTCTGCACTACCTCAAAGGGCTTACTGGATTGTACTGCTATAGCTATTTTGTGCAGACATAGGTTGCTGATATTAATATCCTTTTTCCCCCAAAATAAGACCTCCCTGGATAATAAGTCCAATCAGGCTTTTGAGTGCATGCACTAAAATAAGCCCTCCCCAAAAAATAAGCCCTCCCTGAAAATATTGCAACACAGCAGCAGCCATTAGGTGACCACCCTCGCCGCCTCCTGCACCTCAAAAATAATAAGACCTCCCCGAAAATAAGGCCAAGTGCTTATTTCAGAGGTCAAAAAAAGTAAGACCCTGTCTTATTTTCAGGGAAACACAGTAGAAGTGAATATTTGTTTATCAACTCTTCACTGATATTGGTTGTAATATTGATTGGCTGCACAGGAATTCCTAAATTCCATGCTAAAAATATGGATACAAATCTTTTTTTCATGCCCAAAATTACAGAATTATAATCACCAATAATTTTACCATCTGAATCATCTCATTTTTCATTTTTGCTGCAAATTCTCTTAGTTAAGTATTGGGTTGGGATCCAGTTCACACATACACATTCATCATTTGATCTGGTATTGTTATTTGTTCAGCATTTCATCATTTGAAAATGAATGTGTTGTTTGCTTTGAACAGCATTATAACTGATGAAATATGAAACTCTTCCAATGGAATAATGTGTTTCAGTCATATGAATTCCCACACAACAATGAAGTGGCATAGTTGTATGAAGGACTATGGCTTTGCTATAGTTTTCTCATATTTTATCATCTCTAATTTATTCACACTAAAGAAAACTCTACCTGGAAATTATGTTTAATAATAATTTGTGGAGTTAGAAAGGCTGTGCATAAGCAGCAATATTGCATATTCTCATATTCCATGTTAGGCCTAGACAACTTTTGCTTATCTTCAAAATGCTAAGCAGATTGAATCTAATAAGTACTTGGATAGGAGAATGCCAAAAAACTAGAGCAGAAGACTAGAGTGATTAAGCAAAAACAGAAAAACAAAACTTAAGAATAAAGCAGTGACAAACCATTCCATACTATTGCCAAGAAAACTGTAAAACAGGTGTATATAATCACCAGGAGTTGATATCAAGTCAAGGAAACCTTGATCTTTTAATATGCCCATCTTTCCAGTTCCATATAAAAATAATATACATAATTTTAAATCAGCTATTTGAATAAGTGTGTTATTTTATTATAATGTTTTATTTATTACAGTACTTCAAAACTCACTTTCCTGTCTTCCTCTTAATACTAAAATTGCAAATTCATATTGGTAGCTTTGTAGAGATGCAAGAAAAGAAAATGTAATGTTTTGTATCAATACGTTTTTTAAGCATGTTCATGCACATTTATACATCTTATATAGCTATATGGGTCCCAAAACAGAACTGGCCCCCAATGGTGAGTGAACTGAAGCTATTTAATCTGTGCCATCAGGTTAGGTATTAAAATTGAGGAACAAGGAAGTGGTGGTATTCGGAATCTAGATTGCCTCTGCTTATTGGCTCATTGTCACTGCCACCTTTGCTTTCATTATATTTACAACAATATTAACCACCCCATGCAGAATAATGAAACATTTTAGGCTTGACACCTAAAAAGCCACAGCAGAAGTGGGGGGAAGGAATAAGAGCAAGATAGCACGCAAACACAGCTGTAGTGAATCCTTTGTAGGGAGAGCCAGATGACCGTACCACTTCCAGAACAGTTGATCCTCCTGCACTTCCTCACAGGGCAGTTCACCTCAATAGGTTCTATGAAGAGGGAGGAAGAGCTCCCCCAATTGCAACAGTGAGTAGAGTGTTTCTTCTCTTCTCTTCTTCATTGGGCAGTTCATCCCTCGTGTCCTGAGCCAGATAGTTTCAACAGCAACAGGTAAAGTTGACAGTTCTTTGAAATATGCTACCATAAATATCAAAGAGAATACATTTCCTTATGGAATTTCCTGTCTTCCCAATATAATTCATCTAGGTAAATTGAAAGAATGGTCCTTAGTACTTTATGGGACATCTATCCAGCCTTACTCCCCAAGAAATGATTTTTTAAAAGGCGAACGAGTACGCATGAGTGCAATTGAAGACCCTACAGAAGATTATGGAGTAGATGACTATTCAGGTAACATTAATTATTATATTTGAAATAATATAACTATTAATATAAAAAGTTTTTTTTCTTGCTCTTTGGTTTTCCTCAACCAAGCCAGAAAACCGGTCTCTAGAAACTTCTTTTTCTATTATAGAAACTTCTAATTCTATTCAATACTTTTTCTTATAACTTACGTTCTTATAGGTATTTTGAATATTTGTATTTATAACTGCTGTGAAGAATATTTTACAAGCTACTTTATATTTTCTTTCTTTTCTATTTTCCTTCAACTTTTATTTCCTTTCTTGTACTTTGCTTTTTACTTTTTACTTTTTTCCTTTCTATTGGTTTGTGTTAGCTTTTACCTTTAGTTAAATTTTTAGAATAAAAATTATATATCTAATTCTAGTCAATATTTTCAGTGATTTTTTTTTAACTTCCAAATCAGTTGTGTGAATGGAACCCGAGCTATTTGTTACGAAATAGACTTGAAGTAATTCCTATAAAAATAAAATTACAAGGATTGTTTGCCTTTTTTCAAAGGTCCCTGCAATGCAGAGTGCAGTAAGGTTGGATGTGGTGGACCAGGGCCAGACCATTGCAATGATTGCCTACACTATTACTATAAATCTAAAAACAATACACGGTATGAAACAGTTATTACTTCTCATACAATGTGCATGCAATAAGCCAGTGTGAAACTAGTCAGAATTCCTATTTAGACAACTTTTATTAGATCATACAAGATGGCTTCATTTTTAGTATTATCCCATTTAGCATAGTATAAAACATTATACTACCATCTAACTATAAGTAGTCCTCATTTAGCTATCTTAATTGGCAACCTATCTTAACCTGGCAACTTGGTTGGTAAGTGAAGCAGTTGATAAGTGAATCAGCAGCTGTATTTACATTCTTACTTTGGATTTCTTTTGCTTAACATCTGCAAAGTTGTAAATGTGAGAACTAATCATAAAACCATTTTTTCATCATTGCTGTACTGTGAATGGTTGCTGAAGTTGGAATGTCCATACAGGGGTTAAATATATGTTATTGTTGAGGAATTTAGAGCTGACCTTTGGGAAAGTATGAAAGAGCTTTCATGGAAAAATCTGGACAAGAGATTATATAGTCCAGACATGAGAATTAAATTCAAAATAACCCCACCTAGATTTTGTTTAAAATAAGATAGGACAGAAAGAAACTTGGAGAGACTTTCAAGAGTGATGTCACCTTTTGAGGTAGTCCCAGTCAAGAAAGAAACATGAAGGGTTTCTAGGAATGCTGCTTTGTTGTTGTAGGAAATAACAGAATTTTGAAAGCCTATCTAAATGACACATTAACATAGCTATCTGCACACAAAGGAAGGAAGAAATAGTAAGCCAAAGACATTAAAAGCATGACTTAAGACAGCATTCACTATATATTACTGGGTCAGGGTTCCAAGTAACACCCGCAACGAAAGAATACTCCGTTGTAGCCCTCTGACTTTACAAATCGGTGCCAGAATTCTGCCAATGACCTTCAAAGGCATACTTGATAAATTCCCTAGAGATTTTGTGTCCAGTTTTTGACACAGATGTAGTCTTCACCCCCATATTCATCACATTGTGTAGAGATTCCATTAGAAAAATCACATATGTTAACAGTTACACCATCTACACAGCAGCCTTATTATTTCTTAACATTCTTACTTATTTATTAGTTCATTTTTATGTTTTTCTTGGACAGTAACATTTATAGCATTTGTTTCACTTCCACACTTTGACATATATCTTAATTCCCATAAAAATATGTAAAATGATCCCTCCAGCATTCCTCTTAGTTTCATGCCAAATCATTTCATCACTTACTTTCACATCTATTTGCTCAGTTGGAAGCTCCTTATTTACCACTCCTCACCTACTTCTAAAACATTTTATTTCAATCAAAATAATTCTGCATTTTGTCTTTTTCCTCTGATTGTAATCATGACTTGGGACTACATTCTTTGGAATATTTTTTGTCTACCCATATATTTATCTAAATTCTACTTTATGCCACTTTAAAAAAATAACTTGAACATTGGAAAAATAACTTGAACTTTGTTCAAGAATGAGAAAGAGTTCAACAAGGTTAGAAATACACACTTGAAACTTTGTCGTGGATGATGTGCTTTTTTAAATCATTTGGACCAATGATACATTTACTAAAAGATTTGCATCTTTAATTTTCGTAAATCATGTTCATATAAAATGCAATTTTTATCTTAAATATTATATATTTACAGTTATAGTGTTCTGTCCAATTAAGATTGGAAGTGAATTGAGGTGTTTATTTAGACAAAAAGAAGTGTTTGATTTATATCATACAGTATCTGGTTCTAGTATCGGGAAACCATTGTTCTGCTTTTGTTACTCAAACAAAATTATTTGTTAACTGATTGATCATAGTCCAGCTTAATGCCATCTCTGTCTCTTATTGTTTTTTTTTACAATAAAGAATCTGTGTTCCCAACTGTCCACCTGGTCACTATAGTGCGGACAAGAAACGTTGTAAAAAGTGTTCACCCAACTGTGAAACATGTTTTGGAAGTCATAGTGATCAATGTAATACCTGTAAACCTGGTTACTTTATCAATGAAGAATCTAGAAACTGTATTACCTCCTGCCCAGAGGACTTTTACCTGGATAATAGTAAGATTTTTTTTTACATTGTTCAGTTGTTACAATATTGGAAGGAACTATAAAATCAAATTCCTACATGCAAAACATTCAATACACTGCTGTTCATTTCAGTTTGAACTCTGTGAAATTTTAGTCAGAACTTTAGAATTATATACCAAATAACTCAAATGTTGGTTGAATAGACAGCCTTGAAAATCAAATCAAATACTGTAAATACATAAGCAAACAGATAAACTTTTATTCAAAGCTTGATGAAACAAAGAAGACTGTGTAGTTTTTGAAATATTAAGTCAGATGGGGGTAAGAAAGATCTCCATAGCTGATCATTCCATATTTATAGGCAAGCAGAAAATAAAGTCATATCATAACTATAGCACAAATTATTTTGCTTGTTGTGACACAGTAGAAAAATTGAGTTTTAATTTCTAAATAGTTTAAGATAATCTTTATATAATATTATTGCCAAGTTTCTGAAATGGAGGCAGGGAAAAGATATGGTACGGTATGATATGGTGTGGAAATTTTGGTTATGGTATGGCAAGGAATTCACTGAAGGTGCCAGCAGTGGACATCTGTTGTAAAAACAGGGCCAACAACATGTTAGGAATAATAAGAAATCATTTTGAAAATAGAAATGGCAATACTGTACTCAAATGTCCATATCTAAATCAATGATGCAACTGCATCTGGAATATTGTGTGAAACACTAAAAAAGATTTAGAAGAGCTAGAGAAGGTTCAGAGTAGAGGAACTAATATGATCAAGTAGCTTCCTCGTGAAAACAAGGTTGCTTTTTGTGTGGCTTTTTAGGGCAGAAAGGAAGCAAATGAGTTAGGAACCTGATTGATGAGTATAGAATTATGCCCAGTGTGCATAAAGTGGACAAGAAGAAGCTGTTTCCCTTTCCTCAAACGCTAGAAACAAAGATCACCCTATGGAACTGAATCCTGGAAGAATCAGGACAAAGAAAATATTTTTATTTTACACAGCATGTAATTCTACTTTCCTTACCATGAGCTATGGTGCCATGTACAAGCTTGGCTGGCTTCAAAACAAAGTTGGGCCAATTAGTGGAAATAATGGGGATCAATAGCCATTAGCCTTATGCAATTGGATGGCCGTGATGAGAACAAACTGCTGGACTAGATGCTCCAGGAGTGCAATACTGCAGGGCACTGTTTATTCCTGCAACATTGCAGTACTCTGGTTCTAAAGATAATTTACTATTTCAAATTGAAAAAAAATCATTAGGAAAAAAAATTTGTCTTCATCCATTTTCATTACCCACACCGTAATCATTAGGGAATAGTATATGTCTACCGTATTTTCCCCCATATAACCCGCGGGTTATATGNTCCAGGGGAAGAATACTGCAAAATCTCCATTCCCTCCCCACTCCAGGGGAATGATACTGCAAAGTCTCCATTCCCTGCCCACCCCACTGCTTTCCAGCTCTGTTCTCCTGTGCAGGGCAACAGAAGAAGACTCAGCCGATGGAAGACTGAGTCAACCTTGAGGCAGTCGGTCAGGGTCGAACTCCTGGCAGTGAATAATTAGTTAGAATTAGTTAGAATAGTTAGAATAATGCATTCTAACCACTTGGAAGAAAGGGAGTGAGGAAGAGAGGAAGGAAGGAAGGAAGGAAGGAAGGAAGGAAGGAAAGGAGGGAGGGAGGGAAGGAAGGAAGGAAGGAAGGAAAAAAAGAAGGAAGGAAGGAAGAATAGCAATAGCACATACTTATATACTGCTTCACAGTGCTTCATAGCCTTCTCTAAGCGGTTTACGGAGTCAACCTCTTGCCCCCAACATCTGGGTCCTCACTTTACCTACCTCAGAAGGATGGAAGGCTGAGTCAACCTTGAGCCGATTGGTCAGGGTTGAATTCCTGGCAGTTGGCAGTTAGCCTGCAATACTGCATTCTAATCACTGGGAAGGAAGGGAGGCGGGAGGGAGGGAGGAACAAAGAGAAGGAGGGAGGGAAATGCTTTACGACATTCGACCCACGATGGTCATGGGTTGAGGACTTAACTTGAATCTAATTTCTATAGAGAGGCCGAAAGGGCATTGCCGCGAGCCAGAAGCGAGCCGGCTCCCGCCATGGAGAACGGGATGCAGCTGCTCAACCGGGACGGCCACAGCATCTCCCACAACTCCAAGCGGCACTACCACGACGCCTTCGTCTGCATGAACCGCATGCGGCAACGGGGCCTCCTGTGCGACATCGTGTTGCACGTTGCCGCCAAGGAAATCAAGGCGCACAAGGTGGTGCTGGCCTCCTGCAGCCCCTACTTCCACGCCATGTTCACAAGCAAGTATCTGGGGATGGGGAGTGGGGGGGGGCTCTCCTTCTCGTTCCGGTCTACATCTAACGGAAATTCAGCCGCCAACTCATTTGGGGGGGGGGGACAGCTGGAGTCCTGTGCCGTCCTGCATCTAAACTTGCATTTATTTAATGGGTCAGATTTATAGCCCATCTCTCCTCCAAGGACCGGGGTGGCGCAGTGGTTAAAACACTGGACTTGTTGGCTGGAAAGCTGCCGTTCGAGACCCGAGCGCTACACGATGGAGCGAGCTCCCGTCCTAGTCTCAGCTCCTGCCGTAGCAGCAAAGTTCGAAAACATGCAAATGCGAGTAGATGAATAGGTACCACCCCGTGGGAAAGTAACAGCTCTCCGCGATGTCATGTGGGCCATATGACCGTGGAAATGTCTTAGGACAGCGTTCGCTCAATGGCCTTGAAACGGAGAAGAGCAGCACCCCTACAGTCAGGAACAACTAGTGGAGTAAAATCCACAGAGATTCCTTTGTGACTTTCTCCACAAGATTAGATGTCTCTGACCTTGCCAACTTTTTGTAAAGCCATGGGATCAGGAGCTGGAGGGCCTGTAAATTCTTGTTAAAGAACTCAATGGCTCAGGGTTTAAGATATTGAGCTTGTTGATCAGAAAGGTCAGCAGTTCGGTGGGTCGAATCCCTAGCGCCACGTAATGGAGTGAGCTCCCACTACTTGTCTCAGCTCCTGCCAACCTAACAGTTCGAAAGCACCTAAAAAATGCAAATAGAGAAAAATAGGAACCACCATTGGTGGGAAGGGAACAGCGTTCTGTGCGCCTTTGGCATTTAGTCATGCCGGCCACATGACCACGGAGATGTCTTCGGACAGCGCTGGCTCTTCGGCTTTGAAATGGAGATGAGCACCGCCCCCTAGAGGCGAGAACGACTAGTACATATGTGAAAGGGGAACGTTTACCTTTACCTTTTTACCCAAGTTGATCAGATATTGGCCAAGGAAGATGCACAGATTTGAGGTCTACTTTCAAGATACTTGTGAGGCATGCACCTCGTTG